GATGGATGGATGGATAGACAGATAGACAGGTAGATAGCTAGATAGGTAGATAGGTGGAGAGATAGGTAGGTAGGTTGGTAGGTAGGTTGGTAGGTAGGTAGGTAGGTAGGTAGGTAGGTAGGTAGACAAGTAACATAATATGGACTTTCCTGGTAAATATTGGTAGTTACACCCACACTCTGTTCGGCCACCAAACATTGTTATTGTATTGCTTCACAGAAAGACCAGGACTGCTCCCAGTGCTCAGGAGAAGGCCACTGCTCATTGGAAGAGGTGTCGCGCTTTCCCAGCGTCTCTTGCAGCTGCTTGCAGTCCAATGTGCCTGCACCGGGATTCTCATAGAGTCCGGAAGCCTAAGCCCTAAACCGTCTTCCGCAAAGCCCTAAAACCTAAAGCCTGTAAACTTAACCCCTGAAGCCCTGAAACCTTGAGGCCCTAGGCCCCTAAATCCTCACTGAAACCCTCCGTTTGAGAAGCATCGTTGCAGAAGCGCCGAAAAAGGGAGGGAGGTTCAGAGTTTCGGGTCTTGGGGTTTAGACTTTGGGGCTTCCGGCGATAGGGTTTTTAGGATTTTAGTAGGGTTTAGGGTTTAGGGTTTAGGGTTTTTGTGTCTCGAGGCCTTAGACTATGGGGTTTGGGGCCAGGTGGAGAGACTTGCACTTCTAGCCAAGACTCTGGTAAGCAGCGAGGACTGCAGCCCGAACGGATCCCAACTCTGTCCTTCACCTGGGATCACTCGGGCGAGAAGGATTTAGGCTTTAGGGCTTCAGGGTTCCAGAGATATGAAACCCTTATAGAAAGCTTTATAGTACGTACCCTGACAGAGCCCTTGCAGTACCCTCACCGAGCCCTTGCATGTCTAGGGCTGAGCTGGTCCATCAGGATGGGTTAGCTAAGAACTGGAGAGGACAAAGACTAGGATCCTTACTCCAAGGACTCTCTGGCACCCCAAGTTTCAAGAAACCCGTATAATAGTATATTTTGTTTTACTATATTATATTATATTCTATTATATTCTATTATATTCTATTATATTCTATTATACTATATTATATTATCTTATCTTATATAACGTATAAGCCCTATAGAGCCCAAGTGAACACCTACGAAGAACCGGGCGACAATCTGCCAACTGCCAAGACCGGTCGGAGCACTACTGCCCAAATCGGAGACCGTCGTGTGGGCGCTGTGAAGCCCCCTTTCGGCCTGGGACATAGAGTGCTAGTGTGGCTTAAAGCTTTGGGGTTTTAAGGCTTTTTCGGCCTGTCGGGGCTCTAAGTTTTGGGTCTTTGGGCCCTCTTCATGGGCAGTTCAAAGATACGGCACTGCGGTTGTCCTGCGGCCAAGCGGCGGCAGTCATGGAAGAGCTGCAGGATTCGGAGTCGGAATGCTGCTTGTCCCATTGGTACGCTGAAAACACCTGTTGCCAGGATTTCTGAGGCTTCGGAAGCCTTCAGAATCTGAAAGGAATAGGCAAAAAACTCGAAGCAAGAAAGGCCGCGAAGCCAAATATCCCTGTTCCCTCCACCTTGTCGCAGATTCGGCGCCTCGCCTGGACGTGTCCAGTGCTCCACACTTACATTAACCTCCACAGTCAAGCTAGAGCTGCAGTTGTTCTATCATTACTATCATTACCATTCTCATTCTAACCAGTGCTATTCTCATTATTCCTGCAGTTTTGAACATTATTTCAATTAGTTATCATTGTTCTGTCGATATTATCACTACCAGCATGACTATGATTACGAGCATCATTATAGGCATTATCATGATTATAAGTACTAGTATTAGCATTAGGCTTAGTGTGAGTATTGCTATTAGTAGTCGTACCAGTATTGGAAAGAGCATCTGCCTAGGCAATAACAGCAGCATTGGCACCATTATCAGTAGTAGTATGGGAGTAGTTCGGTATCCTTCGTAGTACAAGTATTGCCATTGCTTTTGTCATTGCTGGTGTTATTGCTATCGTGCTGCGCTGCTGCTGCTGCTGCTG